CATGATTAGATGGTTACGGTTGGTCTGTTGTTTGAGGTCATCTCGCGCGGTATGTTCGCGGTCTTCCAGAACCTGGTTTTCCTTTTTCAAGCGCTCAATGTCCTGCTCCAATTTGCGGATTCGCTCACGCATCAGATTCAACTCCGTCTCACCCTTCTGCTTCGCACTGTAATTATTTTCTTAATAGTTTTTTTGTTAAGGTGGCAAATTTGGTTCAGTATTCGCCTAAAACTAGGTATCATGAGTACAAAAAAACAACGTGCACCTCTTGTCAATGCCTTTTTCCTACCACCGTCATCTAACAACTCGCTCGTTTCTGATTCGTAGCATCAAGGATTCCTTTTTTTGCGCACATGCATTTAATTAAATGCAATAAATAGCAATGCGCACCAGACTAGCCGGTGCGATTATGCGTTTTGTGCAATTCGTCCACCGAACGATTACCTGTTAATGATTTTCACTGCTTTGTACTTTAGTCTGTGTAAAAATAATTGAAACGCTGAAAAATAGTTAAAATTTTCATGCAGCGACACATGAAATCTCACGCACCGGTACTATTGCAAAACTGCAGCTTCTTGGCTTTTATGGCCCCCGAGGCAACAATTTTTCCGCCAAAATTTTCATGAGGCCGTAAGCGATATCTGAGAATACTGGAACACTAAATTTGAATTTGCAAGCTCGTGCGTGCAAATTCAAATTCAGTGTTCCCGTATCCTACCTTGAAATTACCTTGAAATTTCAGTCGCATAGATTTTGTGGTTTCTGAGATAATAATTTACCCGCCAAAATTTCCACGGAGTTGTTCGTGTTACCTGCGGAAGAGAGAAGACTGAATTTAAATTTTCTGGTCCGCATTTGTGCAGGGGACATTCCCACAAAATTTCTGCCTTCTAGCTTCCGTGGTTCCTGTGATAATAATTTTATCCGCCAAAACTTCCACAGGACCATACGTGTTACCCGCGGGTACGGGGTGGCTGAATTTAAATGTGCAGGGTCACGCCTGGGTAGGGAACACTCCCTAAAATTTTAAGCTTCCTGTCTTTTGTGGTTCCTGAGTTGAAAGTGCAGGACAAAACACACTCGGACAAACACACACCACAAACACACACAGACAACCTCATGACGATATGCGTTTTGTACTGCTGTTACACAGCAAAAAACACATAAAAACGCATGTTCGGAAGAATTTTTTCTGTATGTGCGCGTTCGCATTTCATCACGCATTTTCAACTTGGTAATCAGGACAGACAGGGAGCGCAATTTTTGGGGAAAGCGCTGCCCGTTTCAAAGTCAACTTTCATGTATAGCAAAGTCTCGAGTACGGATGCCTGAAAGAAAATGTGAAAAAGTTTTCAACGGGACAAGAATTTCTAGACAAGATAGTAGACTGAAATCTCTCAATGGTACTCTGCGCCTCTGAATGAAATGCAGCTTTCAAATTCGGGCATCATGCGCGCCCGCCTACCTCATATACGTGGGTAAGTTAAAGTTGAAATTGAAACAACGTCGGCAAAATGCTAATTCTAGAACCAGACTGAATTGAGTGTCCAAACTTTTTTAGAACATTTGCTGCCCATATATGAGCACGTAGGCGTAAAATGAAAGTTGCCATGCGCAAGTATAGCGCGTTTGGACTTACCAAAGGTACTTTTTCGACAAACAGTCAGACTAGGAAGCTGAAACTCTACGAAAAAATTCTATCCCCATGCGTGACCAATTAGGTGCTGTATGTGCGCACGCGAAAGTTTAGTCTCAGATACCGCTTGCACGCATTTAACTAGCTAGATAATCCATCCGGACAGGAGGCAACATTTTTCTAAAAATGACTGCTGCCAAACTGCAGCACTATTATTAATCTGCTTTCTCAGCAATTCAAGAGGCAAAAAAGTCGAAATTTTACAAAAATGCAGCGTGATTCTGTAGGACATGAAACTCTAACAGCATTTTCACGCACGCTAAAGTAGAGACATGACAAATTTCAATTTACAAAAACTCATGATCATACCAGCAATACTGGCAAGTGCTACCCATAGGCGAATCCAGGGTGATCTCCAGGGAGGAGCGGGGGAGAGGGGGGAGGGGGAGGGATTTTTTAGCCCACCTTTTCCCTTTGTCACCACACCCTCCCCCCTTCCCACCCTCGGGTAGCTCGCAACCCATCGTTCACTCGTCGTACAACTCCTCTCTCCCTTCCCCTGGGTCGTCCCGTTACACCCACCCCTTCCCCCTCGAAGGCCCCGGCGGGAGGTGGGGGGAGGGGTGCGACAGGGGGTGTCAAGCAGACTTTTATACAGTGAAGCAACTGCTACCTAACCCTCGAAAGGCCTCTCGCCCCTCTCCCCCCTCCCTCCTGAACCCGCCAATGGTGGTGCTACTGGTTTTCTTTTTAATTTAAAAATGTCTAACATAGTGGCTGCATTTTTTAAATACATATTGAAGGTTTTTGCGCCTAATGAACCATAAAGAGAAAGGGAGTGTTGCAGAATTTTCACTTTCTCTTCTCACCCCTCTTTTACCGTTTTCTAAAAAGCACAAACTCACCCGCCAAGTTCATTTTTGTCCATCTGTAAACGATTGTTCAGTTCAGTGATCTTTTCAATTTCTCGTTGTGCTGCAGCCAGAGTTGTTTCCATGCCACTGATCCTTGCCAGATTTGTTTTCATCTGCGTATCGAGTTCATCATTTTGGCGACGCATTGTGGTTATCTGCACTTCATAGCTATCGATCTGCTTCTTGAAATTATCAATCTCATGCAGATGACCTGAAATCATCAAGTTTTTCTGGTGTGGTGAAAGCGATTCACAGCTATTCAGACAGAGTTGAAATAGATAATAAGCTTTAACTAGTGTTGCAGATGTCTCGATCACAGTGGTACATAGGGTAATTCTGTAGATTTTCAAATTATTCATGGCAAGATTTACTGCCAATGCGCGAGGGTTACAGCAATCGCAGTAAAGAACAAAAACAAAAAACAATAGTCGGTGAAGAAAAGGAACGAGAAAAAGAAAAAGATCATCGTAACTGAAAAATGCAATGGTATGAAATAAAGCTGGCAATGTTCACGCTCACAAAAATGAGAAGAGTAAGGCTATCACTCATTATCCAAAATATGCATGTGGGAATAAGCCGTGGCCTGGTGCGAGAAAGAAACTGACCAGCACAGTGTCGCCAACTTACCCCACCAGGAACAACTCTACATGTTACCTAGCCACAAACAAAGACGTGAAGGGAGTAGGCAGTGGAATGAAGAAAGGTGAACACATGCCATCTGCAGCTCACAGTAATAAGCATGCTGAAATAGGAAAACTGGAAGAGAAAATAAAAACACCGAGAAAATCTACTCAGAAAAAGAAACGAACGCAGTGAACAAAGCAGTAATCGGAGAATCTAAAGTGGTTGT